GAAATTTCTGTGTGTTCATCCCTTTTGTTGATAATTTTTTTTTCGCCCGAGCTATCTTCATGTAGAGTCAAATAATCAGTGGAATTTTACTGCCTTGTGATGCATGAGACAACAAAGAAGAATATCTCTAACCTATTTTTATATGCTGATTTCCAAATTATTTAATGGCCATCTCGATAATCATCTATCAAAAGGTTTAAATGATATTTTTAGCAGATAAACTTATTTCTTTCATTGTATCGGTTGAAACACGGGTCTCATACACTAAGGGAAACCTGAACACTTGTTATCCAGTCTGCTATAAGTAGTTGCCTTTTGTCTTTGCTAAAAGTATTTCTTCTTAATCTTTCATTGTGCAAAGAAGCCAGTACTATATTTGCAACTGAGCTTCTCTCAATCTAGTAGCTTGCTGTTGGCTGTTCCTCACTGGAGCATGAGGCGGTTTTTTCTTGAATTTCCCGGCTGGAAGTTTAAGGTCGTATGAGAGAAGTGTTTGGGTGTGGTTCTATCAGAGCAGTGATCAATTCTTCTAGCACTATAGGATTTATCAATTTTGGATTGGACTTGGTTCACATTGCATTTTTTTTAGCTTTTACTGCATGCAGGGGATGCAATTATGCCTTTCTCTCATTTTGATTGGTTAAGCTATATATATGGTTGCTGGTCTTTAGTGTTTAAATTGTATATTTGGGTCCAGGTTGATGCTGTGGCGTACCTGGTAGATGCCTATGATAAAGAAAGGTTTGTAGAATCAAAGAAGGAACTGGATGCACACCTTTCTGATGAGTCCCTTGCCAACGTCCCGTTTCTTATACTAGGAAACAAAATCGATGATTCGATATACCATACGCTGCCTCAGAGGACGAGTTACGATACCATCTTGGCCTCACAAACTTTACCACCGGCAAGGGGAAGGTAAACCTAGCAGACTCAAAACGCCGTCCACTAGAGGTGTTCATGTGCAGCATTGTCCGCAAAATGGGTTATGGCGATGGCTTCAAGTGGATGTCTCAATATATCAAGTAGAGAAAAGTTGTATTCATCGAACTGATAGAAACTAGCCCCTACGGGTTGTTTGGTTTAAGGAATGTGAGATTCTCATAGGAATGGAATCCACATTCCCATGTTTGGTTGGTTGGGAATCTCATTCCTGGTAATGTTTTATTACCAATAGTAGATTTTTTGGGATATATTATTGAGAATATTATTACCTCTTTTTCTTAGGTATTGTTGGATTACTGACGTTTTGGACTAAAATACCCTTAAAATTTTCTTTTTTTTCAAAAATATTCTTCTTCTGTCATTGAATAATAAAAATTCTACGAAGGTTAAATTACGAATTTATCCTTAAACTATTTTAGATTTTCAAAAAAAATTTATAATTAAAATTTTATATGAAGTTCAGGGGTTAAAATAAAATTTTACCCTTTTATTAAACCTTTTTATATTTTCAATTTTGTAAATATATATATATATATACATTTTATAATTTTAAATTTTTTTAAGAAAATATATAAATACTTTTTAACTTGTTAAAAAAATAAATATATAATAAAGACAATTTGATCAAATATACATTCCAATAATCTTTTATTCCTTTAACCAAACAAGGTAATTTTACATTCCTGCTAAACCAACCAAACACAAAATACAACATTCTCAGTAATCTTATTTCTTGGTAATTTTATATTTCCACTAATAATCTTACATTCCGTGAACTAAACGTTAAATTGAATGCATTTGGTTTTGGGTCTGTGTGAAAGAAGATACAACTACACTGTAAAATTTACTTGTGACTGCAAATCTTATGGTATTATATAGTTTAAACATTCAGACAGATAAGATCTAGGTGCATCGATTCGATAGGTTCGGTTTTATATATCGAAAATCGAATAAACTGATTAAACCCTTTTTAGAACTAAATAAACCGAATCGATTTTTTTAGTCAAAACTGAAATAACTCACAAGTACCATACGTTTCAACCACGATGGAAGCTCACAAGCCAGCAGCTGCGACCGAGTCTACCCTATAATGTGAACTTCAATCACACGTTCATTAGTACCGCCATTCTTTACTAGCATTTTGTCTGCTTTTTCTCTTCTTTAGTCTTCCCTTTTTACGTGTCCTTTTTCATATAATTTTACCAGTTCATTCTTCGACTCTTCCTCCTCCTTCCACTATATATGCCCAACCATTTTGATCTTTCCACTTTCAAGTCTCGACATCCATGCCTTTAGCCGATATTCGAACTTATAAAGCCACTTTCTTTACCCTCTTCATGGGAAACATCGCTTCCGGCTGCTTTATTCCCGATTCGATCAGGAAAAATATAGCTGAAGTAATCGATGCTCGAGGAAACATTTGGAGAGTCAAACTCCCGGTAAAGGCAGCGGAGATCATGCTCGAGGAGCCCGGTCACGTCATCTCTTCCGTGAAGGACCTGAAACGAACTCGATCCGTGGTTGCTGTGCGAGCTGACGATGAACTTTTGGCTGGTGAGGTTTACGTTTTGGTTCCCATAGGAAGGGTTCGTAACAAGGTTACGGATACGGATATGGCGATCATAGAAGCAGTCTGTCGTGGAAAGAAAACGAGAAAAAGTGGTGCCAAGGTTTCGCCGGAGGTGGAAGAGAGCGGAGTTCGGGTTGCGCCGGTTGCTGCTCCTCGTGGCTACCGATCGGGGAGCTGCAGGCCCTGGACTCCTGTATTGGAATCGATTACTGAAGTGCTTTGAGAAGTGTCTATATCGCACCATTCTTTCATTCTTCCCCGTAATTAAAGTATTGAACCAAATGTATTTGATTTAGTTTTACCCATCTTGATTCAATCACAATACTCGATTCAAGAAAGCTTATTTGGAGTACGAATTAAGTGATTTTAATAGTTAAAAAATTATTATTTTTACATCATTTAATCAAAAAATTTCAAAATAAATATTATTTTATATTCTTCGTATGTTAATAAAAAAATATTTTAATCAATTCTTTATTTTAAAATTCCATGGCCTTACTAAGTTACCATAAAGAGTAATAAATATATATTTAATTAATAATAAACACTAAACATAATATACTATCCATGCCCAAACCCAATATTTAAGCCGAACACCTAATTTAACCAACACAAAATTAATTTAAACCATTACAAAATTAAAAGTTACTTATATTTTTAACCCTAAAAAATTGACTAAAAATACTATAAATTTTAAGTAAAAAATATTTTCTTCAAGGACTAAAAAATTAGTTAGGCCAATAAATTATCCTACCCGATATCAAAATTTTATAATTATTTTATTTAAATTAATTAAACTAAAAAAGGAAATTATGTATTGAAAAATAATTTATTAATAATTAAATTATACGGGCAAGATCCAATTACATCGTGTAGTTTTATATCTTTTTAGAACTATTGGATTGAGGGAAATCAAAGACTGAGATTAACTCATTGTCTTATTCATTTTTTTAAATTGCCCTCCCGATGTTCCAAGACTTGTATTGACTAATCCAAATCGACCCGTGTCGCACTCTTGATTCTAGTAAGTGAGTCTCCCAACAGAAATTTTCTACATACACAAAAACTCAAACTCGAGATATTTCTTTTATAATTATGAACCGGCATACTAGAAATCAACACCCTTTCCTTTCAGAATAAATTAAAATCTTGATTAGATTAAAGTTTTATTAATTCAATTTATTTATTTACTCGTATCGAGGTTAAGTCCTCATCATGAAAGGCACAATTTTAAAGCATTAAATATGTAAACATAGTTATGGTCTCTGTTTTGAAAATCGAATCGGATTGATCGGTTCAACTGATTTAATCGGTTCAATCGAGAATCGTTGTCTAGTCCGGTTCAATTTAAACCGGTTGAATTGTTACTAGTGAATCGGCCAGAACCGCTGAACCATTCAAACCGGACCGGCTGAAAACCGAAAAAACCCGGAAATTTTGTTTTTTTTTTTAAATTAAACCAAACGTCGTTTGTTAAACGAGCCAAGTCGAACTCGAGTATTGCTGAGCTCGACTCGAACTTGAAAACTTTAAAAGTAAGCTCAACTCCACTCAAACTCACAAGTTAAAAATTATCAAGTTCAACTCGAACTCGAAATATAATATTGAAACTTGAACTCAAAAAGGCTTGAATTAAAAAAAAATTAGAAGCTCAATTGAAGCCTAAAATTCGAGCTTGATTGAAGTGAAAGAATAGTTCACTCAATGCTCACCAAAAGGCTCCATGATTTTAAATGTCAAATTACCTCTATTATTTATAGAAGTTAGTTGTTATGCTCTTCTATGTTTCTTAGCAATGTGAGATTGTTTTGTTCTCATATTTTCTCTTTAGACTTTTGGGATGCTCTTCTATGTTTCATAGCCATGTAGGATTGTTTTAAAAAAATTAAACCAAACAATATCATTTTGTTATGAGTTTTTTAGCCCCAAATTTATTTTTTAATTATAGTTATATAATTATATTTATTATTTAATATGTTTTACCTTAAATATTATGTTGTAGTTAATTTGAATCATTTTGTTTCACTTGATTTTATGGTTTTTAACTCATATATGTTATGACTTGCTTTGAATATGACTTGTGATATACAAAATTATTTTTTATTAAATATTTTTGGTATTTTTATTTAATTTTTTAAATAATTATGACGTCGTCCGGTTATTCCGACCGGTCAAACCGGTTCAATCGATTAAACCAATGAACCGATAACATGAGTGGTTCGTTAACCGGTCCAGTTCTGAAAATCATGGTTACGGTTGAACATGAACCATTTATACTGACTTTCTAATCACGCCGACAACGTACATTAGACCCACAATCCATCACCGTTGGACCAAATCTTGTACCATATATTATATCACCATTTCTTATGATATATATGTTTACTTAGTCCACCATGAGTTGCGGTTCAACAAATACCATCTTCTCCTACACAATTTCCCCTGCATAAATTGCTCTCTATTCCCTTTCATTGCAGATCGATCGTTTATGGGTATTCACTTCAGTGCTTTCATTTGCAGTAGTCCATCTCATAGTGCCGGTGCCAGGAAAGTAATTCTATGGGATGGTTCGGTCCGGGAGTTCAGCTCGCCGTTGACGGCGGCGGAGCTGACTCTGGAGAATCCGCAACAGGTGGTGGCGGAGTTTCACGCGGCGGTTAACGGCAAGAGGCCGGTTCCATTGCCGGCTGACCAGAAACTGGACGTCAAAAAGGTTTACGTAATGCTGCCGTTGAATCGAGGGAAACCGGCCACGTTGTCTTCGGACGATGCTCGTCGCGTGCTACTGAGTGCTGACTCGAAGCGGCTTTTATCGTCATCCAGGCTTTTTCCTTTTCTTGCCAGGATTTGCCCCGCAAATCATATGTGAGAGATGGAACAAAAACCCCCGTTGCCGGAGAAGGAAAACGCCGGCTAAAGGGCGGATGAAGTCGGTAGTTTGAAGGGGTTTCCGCCGGAGAGTACGGAAGATTTGCCGGAGTATTTGAAGAGGCATTATTCAGGCAAGGGATGGAAACCAAGCTTGGACACGATAAAGGAGAAGAAGATTGAGAGAAAGGTATCCCATTGGTTGTATTAGCTGCTTCATCCATTTCCAATTGTTTTTTTTATAAACATCAATATTTGATATATTATCGATTAATCCGAATCGAATACGGTAAAAGCAAGGACGATACTCTCTACTCAATTTACTTTATTTTCAATCATCGGGATGAATTTATATCATCAGTGTTGCTAATTTCTATGCAAATATGAATGTTTTAATTCTAGAGATTATAATTTAGATGAATTTATAAAGGCAATAAACATTTATGAAATGTATTAATTGAAAATTTTTAATATAAAACATTCATTTTTTTAAAATTTTAATCTTGATTCAAATAGTACAGAGAATAGTTAAATTAAAAGATATCCAATTATAAAACAAAAATTAAATCTTCGTGTGCATAATATAAAAATGATATAACTATAAAATAAGTGTTTAAATTATATCAATTTTCACGAAAGGTGTTTAAACTATTTTTTTTAAATGATCTCAATGTCTAAAGTTACAAACATTATCACTTTAGGTACTCAGGTTATAAACGGTATTAATTTCCTCCATCAAGTGACACATGTTATATTTGGTAATTTTGAATATTAAAAATATTATTATATTTTATATTAAAAAAAACTTTAATTTCTCTAAAATTATAAAAATCCCTAAAATCTCCAATTACTAATCCCAATCCATCACTGTTGTCTTTTCAGGCCACGACCACCACCGTCGACGTAGTCTTTGTTATCATCCTAGTCATACGTTGTCGATTGGCCGTCAAAATCGTGTGGGATTTTCATCCTACGGTTCGTGGGGTATATAACGTCAATTGATCGTCAACCGATCGCGATTTCATAGGGGTTTTGATCGTCATGGAAGGTGAGATTGGATGTAGCTTCTTCGACGACAAAGGGCGGCGGTCAACGTAGGTTTAGGTGTTCAAATGAAGGTGTTTAAAGTTTTGGAGCTGTTTCAAAATTATTTTTATTTTATAGTTTGTACACTTATTTTATAATTAAGCCTATAAAAATTAATAACAAAGTTTGATTTAACAAAATTGACGTGTACTATAAATTAAAATAAAAATTGTAAAAGTAAACTAACAACAGGTTTTGATCCAACAAAGATTGAAAATACAATCTACAAAGAAAGGCGGCCCAATTTTGTGCGTCAGATTGGGGAATTTTAGCTAATCAATACCGAGCAAAAGATATAGCCCAAATAAGGAATGAATAAGAAGAAACTAATCAGTTGTATGTTCAAAAACTATTTTCAGATTTTGTTTAAATCTTTTTTTTGTTCTAAACAACGGGTTTTGATCTATTGATCGATTAATTCGGATCGGATTCTGTATAGGTGAAGGCGATCCTCCTAACCCAATTTACTTCATTCACAATCGTCAAGATTCGAACCTTTGATATTTGTTAAGGGATCTAGTGTCTTCATCCATGTTATAATAGTAGTTGCATGTGCTTATTAGAGTTAATAATATCATACATACCTTATGACGTTCTTTCTAAATTGATTCTTAAACTTTTAAACATTTTAATTTCAACCTTAAATTAAGACTATCATTTGAAATTAGTCCTCAAACTTTTGAACATTTCATTTTCATCCCCAAATTGTGATTTTCATTCTAAATTAGTCCCCCAAACTTTTGAATAATTCAATTATATCCTAAATTATATGTATACACTCTTGTTAAGAAAATCATTAGGTCATGTTGTATTATTACATGTTTGAAAATATAAATTTGAGGTTAAACTATGGTTTAAATGGATTGCATATTTGGATAATATGGGGATGAAATTGAAATATCTAAAGTTTCAGGATCAATTTAGAACAAGATTCATAGTTTGGTGATGAAATTAGAATGTTGAAAAGTTCAAGGACTTACTAGAATGAGAGTCGTAGTTTGATGATGAAATTAAAATATTTAAAAGATTAAAGACTAATTTAAAACGAGTCATAGTTTGAGGAAATATGATGCAACTAACCCTTCTTATTATCCTTGTAATTCAGTTTTTACAATTATGTATAAGGTCTTAATTCAATATTTAAAAAAAATTGGTACATAAAAGTTTAGGTCGGGTTTGCTCCCCCAGTTCAAGGTCAAGGCATACCTAAGACTCAATTGGGATTTACATAGGAATTTACAAATTGCCTATAAAGAGTTTTTAAATTCGAACTTGACATTACAAGTTCAAATTATTGAATTCCAACCATTTTTACCGACATTCATCATTTTTTTAATAGTAAAAATAGATTTCTTAAGAAAAATTGATAAATTATTGAATTCCAACCATTTTTACCGCTGCGACGGTTCTACGACTAGGGATCAAAGGGTACGAGTGGTGGTCGGAGGCTCTTCATGGTGTGTCCGATGTGGGTCTGGGAACGAGGTTCGGTGGGGCATTCCCTGGGGCCACTAGCTTCCCTCAAGTAATCACCACCGCTGCTTCTTTCAATACCACATTATGGGAAGCCATCGGACGGGTGAGTTTTTTTTTCTTAACCATTTTGTTGTCGTACGTGTAAAGATATGGCTGCTTCCACGAGATAATGTTCTCGAAATTTTTATTTCACGTGATAATGTACTCACATGTTTAATTGTTGAAATAGGGTGATGCACAGTTTGGCCGTAGGTCGCCATGCCTTCCGGGCGACCTACGACGTGGCAGCTTTCGAGAATAAACGACGACGACATTGCATGGCACATGCAAGCCAACCCATAGGTCGCCATGCACTCCGAGCGACCTTGTAGGTCGCCATGTACTCCCAGCAACCTTGTATTTTTTACATGGACACGTGATAACCTACTCCCTGTTGTATGTCGTCCCCTCCTACTCCCCGCTGTATGTCGCTGCAGCTATATGGGCTGCAATTGCAACATGAAATCAACTGTTTCATGTAACAATTATTGATGCATGCATGTGAACCATTTTAGCCTGTGAATTGTGCAATTATTGGTGAAATAATTGAGGCAACTTGTGTTATATATGGGAAGGTGGTTAACGTGAGAACATAAAAGAAAGAAAGGGAGAAGAGATTGCATCCGAAGAAAGTGAGAAGATAGTGCAGCCGAGAAAGAAAGAAAGGGAGAAAGGAAAGGAAGAAAAAGAAAGGGAGATAAGGCTCTTGTGAGGTAAACTTTTATTATTTAAATTAGTTTATTATTATAAATTTTTAGTTTGTTAGTTTAGGGTTTAGGGTAAAACAAAAATCAGTTAATTAGTTTGTTAGTTTAGGGTTATATGATTGTTAGTTTAAGTTAAATATATTATACAGAAATAAAAAATTATTTAATTAGTATGTTTGATAGTTATATAGTTAAAAATAATTAATTAGTTTGTTTTGTTATTCTTTAGTTATATAAAAAAATTATTTAATTAGTTTGTGTTAGTTAATTAGTTAAGTTATATTAGTTTGTTGAATTTATATTATATAAAAAATTAGTTAGTAATATTAGTAGTATATTATAATGAAAAAATAATTTAATAGTTTTAGTTATATAAAAAATATTTTATTAGTTGTTTAAGGGTTTAGTGTTTACGTTTAACTTATATTTTAAAAAGTTTACTTTATAAGTTTATTATATTATAAGTTATTATATTAATTTTTGTTGTTGTGTTGTAAATTAGGAAATTAGTTTATATTAGATTATATTAAATGATTTTTTAAATATTGTTGTTTAATTTTTTTTACAGATTCATTCCAATGGCTGACCAAATTCCACTGCCGATACTTGACAATGAACATATTTCAAGTCACTTAGGAATAATGGTGAATAAAATATTTGTTTAATAAATTATAATTAATAAATATTTGAATATTATATTTTATGATGATTGTGATAAATTTTTTTCATTATCTAATTGCAGGAGGACGAGCAGCGAGTCCTTCGTCTTCGGCTACATAAAGTGCCCAAGCCACACCCATTGATTGAAGAAAACTTGCAAGAGGCTGGATTTTGGTATGTAACATTTGTGCGAGATTACAAGTTGGTCCCAGGTTTGATCAGTTCGTTGATTGAACGTTGGAGACCAGAAACACACACGTTTTATTTACTGTGTGGCGAATGTACGATAACTCTGGAGGATGTGGCAATGCAACTCGGGGTCCAAACTAATTGGATGCTGGTGGTAATGTCACATGAGTTTAATAATGTGGAACAACTTTGCAGCTTGTTTTTTTGGGAAAACACTCGTACCACCAGAGTGTAGAGGGTGGCGTGTGAGGTTGTCATGGTTGAAGAATGAATTTCAGCTTCAACCAAATAGTACGGAGCACGAAATTATATATGCAACACGAGCATATATATTACAGTTGATTGGGGGAATTTTGATGCCTGATAAATACGGTAGTTATGTTCACACTCAGTATCTTATTTTTTTAAGAAATTTTGAGAATAGTAGGTAATATAGTTGGGGATCGACGATATTGGCGTTCTTGTATCGTGATATGTGCAAGGCGTCATTAGTCGTGAATGATAACCATTTTTGACACCGATTAGTCGGACTGCGGTTAACTTTCCATTTGCTGGAAGGTAATATGAATCATCAATTTTAATATAAAATATTAATTAGAAAATATTTATTTTGATTAATATTATTGAACAAAATGGTAATATTTTTGTTTTGATTGATATACAGATGGAGGCATAAAATTGAAGGCACGGGGTTGGTTCACAACAACATTAAAGAGTTCAGGCTGAAGATCGACATTAAGGCAAAAAAGGAGGTATATATAATTTGTTATTTTTAATTATTATTTAAATTAACTATATTATTTGATTTAAATCAATTTTTTTTTGTAATTTTACAGTTTAATTG